GCTGCACATCCATGGTGCGATTCTCCCGTTCCTCCACATCCCAAAGGTGCTCTATTGGATTGAGATCTGGTGACTGTGGAGGCCATTGGAGTACAGTGAACTCATTGTCATGTTCAAGAATCCAGTTTGAGATGATTTGAGCTGTGTGACATGTTGCATTGTCCTGCTGGAAGTAGCCATCAGAAGATGGGTACACTGTAGTCATAAAGGGATGGACATGGTCCCAATACTTTTGGCATATAGTGTGTGCGTGTGTGTATATATATATATATATATATATATATATATATATATATATATATATATATATATATATACATACTGTGTATATTTGTAACACTGTGCATTGTTACTGAGAATGCAGAACTTTATTCAACCACAAGATGGCAGCATTAAGTACTTTTGCTTGCCACAACTGTAATACTGGTGTCCAGAGACTGCTGGGAACTGTAGGCTGAAAGCAGAACTTTCCTCACAGTAAAGCTAAAGTTGAACTACAGAGCCAATGAGCCATTTGCCAAGGAGCCACAGTAAATGAAAGCAAAAGCCCAGGAAGTCACAGGGGGAGTTGGAGAATGATGTTGCAAAGGAAAGGAGTGTGAGAGTCTGTGCTGGGCCTTGCTGTTCCGGACCAGGCCGAGTTGTTCCAAAGTATACAGGAGAACATAGAGTGGAGAAGGCTGTTCTGGGGAGATCTTTCAGGTGCAGAAGTGAGAGCTCCACCACCATCACGGCTGCATGTTCAGTTAAAAGAGGCTCCCACCACAGGACACCCATCACTTCTCTGATTATCTCATAAGGATCTCATAAGAGGGTCTCTGACCCACGCATTGTTGTTACCAGTTACATTTCGTTTGTTGCCAGCCAGGGTTTGCAAGATTATAAACATTCTTCAGCATTGGCGTTATCTGAGACAAATACACCAATGACCTTTATTGCTGCAAACTCCCTTATCTGCCATTGTGATCACTGCCTGCAGATTGCTGAACTGAGTCAATCCCCTTGCTCCCTGCTAGACAGGATCTTTTCCATGTGGCTGCATCTTCTTCAGTCCAGGCAATCTAAAGAGGGTGCTTTTGCAGTTTAAGATCAAACTTACTTCTTACTGTGAACCATGCCTACAAATTCACTCTCTTAAAGTAACTTTTGCCTGAAATTCCTTATCCTAAAGTGAACAGTACCAGCAACCTCATATCTTAAAGTGATCTTTCACCAACAACTTTGTCTCTCAAATGGAATTATTCTGTTCATTCCACATCTTAAAAGGGACAGCATCCTGCATTTTGCGCCAACATAAGGGCCCCAACTAAGCCAGCAGGAGAACCAATTTCCTTCATACTCCGGGTTTATTCTGTTAGTGATACTAGTTTGCAGATGATTTACCAGATTCTTAGGCTTAGACCTAGACTGTCCTGATTGAGGGCCTACAAGTGAGCTAGCCAGTTTGTTTCCTTTTTTTTTATTCATATACATCTCACTTGTGAAGTGATCTCCCAGTAAGAGGGCTATTGTTTATGCCCTTGGCCTGCAGGACCTAGTTGGCCATGCTTTAAAGGGTATTTGCTGTACTATATTGTTACTGTGTTGATTCACTGTGTCTATTGTAAAATCTCTAAACTGTTGCATTGCTTTACCATTTCATTGCCACCTATACAACCTGGTCCTTGGTTTCTTCACAGTTGGCGTGTATCTTTCTTGTGTAACTACCGGGAGACTTCTGATATGGTTTTACTGGTTGCTAGGAAGAAAACAAATTCTCTTGTGCTCTATGACCCAGCATGGGGTAGATAGATGCAGCCCGAACTTGGAAGTTTCTACCACCAGTGCATATGCGGTTATGTAGCTCCAAACAAGGCTGGGGAAGCCCAACCAATACTGAAAAGCGAAAACAAACAAAAAGCGCACCAACCTTGCGCATTACCTCAGTAAGCCAAAATTGATTGATAACAGAATAATTCTCACAAACACTGAAGTAAATCATGCATGTAAGTCCTCAAAGGGACTAAGGATAAAAGCATCCATGGTTAACTTCTCTTTTTCTCTGATGACTGTTGAATGTCTCGTATGTATTGCACGATATGGTAGAAACAGTGTTATGTATCTGTCCAGCATATCCACCTATGAGCTAGATTTTATGTTCAACATTTAGAATGTGAAGTGTACTATTTCTTTTTCTCTATATATGCTATGTAGTTTTTTGTAATTTTTTATTCTTCTTCTTTGTAAAATGCTGATTAATAAAAATTACCTGATTAAAAAAATACCGGGAGACTCACCGATCAAGATATTTTGGTAGTGTGAGCAGGAGTACGGCTCCAGCTAGGGCCAAGGAAAGAGCAGAGGAACCAAATCTACTGGCGGCTCCTTTGGGGGTAGTACTACATATTTATGAACATATATGTTTGAACATCCTTGCCTTTAGAAATCAAAACACTACCGAGGAAGCATGGAAAGGCTACAAACAGCCCCTGGGATGACAGATTGGCATCACAGGTAATAAGACCATTTTCATGCTTTTGTGTTTGTGTGTTTTTCTGTTCAATTAAATATCCATCACTTCATATTCATCAATCATTCAGTGCCTTAATAAATCAGCAGGCTCTGTGAAAGCAAACTGCAGTAAATATTTGCATCTTTAAAATGTCATGTGTTCCTTTTCCTTCCACTTCTGACTGCAGTACAAAGAATGATAACACCTGGCCGCACCTTTAAACCACCACCCGCGGCACTATAGCATTTATTAATTCCCTACCACTTGTTTGTCTCCAGCAGGCACAGAGATGTTATGTGCTCCCCTGGGTGTACAAAGTACAGCACTGAGCTGAAAATTGGTGTTTTAAAACTGCTAAAAGATACTCAACACCTGCTAACTTAAAATAGTTTGTTTCTAATAGCAGCTGAACCCACCACAGAAAGGGCACAGCTTGTCCCCAGACTGGTCGGCACTCTCGTCGCTTCCATATACTACTCATTACTGTCTGTTTTCATTTCCCTCCATCCATCTTGCAGGTTTCCTTTCTTACTTTCTGGAATCACTGTTTATGTCCAGATAAACTGGCATCAGATTGTGCAGGGAGGCACAGAAGGGCATCTTACAAAATAATAAAGTAGCCTGTGCGCACGCTGCTAGAGAAGATACATTCAAGTCTCCGTCTTTTTTCCTCTGCTCCCCACTCCTTTTTTTAATTAACAGAATCAAGCAGTCCTGAAATTGTCAGTTCATTTCCCATAGAACACCAGTTGATGTTTCCATCTTCCCCTCCCCCCTTTCTCTTAACTGGTACGCATTTCATTTCTCTGTTTGGAGGTAGATCTGCTTCGGATGGAATACAGAACAGTGAACAGCAAAGGAAGGGGATACAGCGCATACTAACCCTTCCTGTCTGCTTTAAACTGCCTCTGAAAGGAAGAAACAATTTATTTTTTTTTACATAAACATTGGATTTGCTTCTGTTACCTGGAAATCTGTTCATTTAACGTGACTAGGCAACTGTCAAGTCCCTGGTTAATTAAAATGTCTTTCTGGATTAGATAAGGTTTTCTAAAGTAGCACAAACAAAATGTTAAAAGAACAAATAACTTGACATGATGTGCAAATCTACTGATAGCTGCTGTCTGGCAGAAATACATGCTGGAAATAATAATCTCTTTGGAATCCGAAGGTTAGTCGGGCTATAATGTAAATGGTTTAGTCCTGTCCCGATCAGTCTTCCAGTTAAAAGCAGACTGGGAACTTTTGGCCTAGGGCCAAACACAACATACTAGTCATTTTATGGTAGGGACAGCCTTCTGTGAGAACGTTTGGCCTAGGGGCAAACACAGCATACTAGCCATTTCATGGTAGGGACAGCCTTCTGTGAGAACGTTTGGTCTAGGGGCAAACACAACAAACTAGCCATTTCACGGTAGGGACAGCCTTCTGTGAGAATGTGTGGCCTAGGGGCAAACACAACATACTAGCCATTTCATGGTAGGGACAGCCTTCTGTGAGAACGTGTGGCCTAGGGGCAAACACAACATACTAGTCATTTCATGGTAGGGACAGCCTTCTGTGAGAACGTTTGGCCTAGGGGCAAACACAACATACTAGCCATTTCATGGTAGGGACAGCCGTCTGTGAGATCGTTTGGCCTAGGGGCAAACACAACATACTAGCCATTTCATGGTAGGGACAGCCTTCTATGGGAACGTTTGGTCTAGGGGCAAACACAACATACTAGCTATTCCATGGTAGGGACAGCCTTCTGTGGGATCGTTTGGCCTAGGGGCACACACAACATACTAGCCATTTCAGGGTAGGGACAGCCTTCTGTGGGAACTTTTGGCCTAAGGGCAAACACAACATACTAGCCATTTCATGGTAGGGACAGCCTTCTGTGGGAACTTTTGGCCTACGGGCAAACACAACATACTAGTCATTTCATGGTAGGGACAGCCTTCTGTGGGATCGTTTGGCCTAGGGGAAAACACAACATACTAGCCATTTCATGGTAGGGACAGCTTTCTGTGGGATCCTTTGGCCTAGGGGCAAACACAACATACTCGCCATTTCATGGTAGGGACAGCCTTCTGTGGGTATATTTGGCCTAGGGGCAAACACAACATACTAGCCATTTCATGGTAGGGACAGCCTTCTGTGGGAATGTTTGGCCTAGGGGTAAACACAACATACTAGCCATTACATGGTAGGGACAACCTTATGTAGGCTAAAGAAAATGTATCACATAAAGTATGGAGAAGGTGGTGTTTTTAACCCCTTGCCTACCGGACACTTTTACCCTCTTCCTGCCTAGGCCGATTTTCAGTTTTCAGAGCTGTCACACTTTGAATGACAATTGCGCGGTCATGCCACACTGTACCCAAACAAAATTGTTATCATTTTTTTGAGACAAATAGAGCTTTCTTTAGGAAGTATTTAATCACCACTGTTTTTTTTTATCTTATTGTTAAACTAAAAAAGACTGAAAATTTGTAAAAAAAAGTTTTTTTCTTAGTTTCTGTTATAAAATGTTGCAAATAGGTAATTTTTCTCCTTAACTTATGTGTGCTAATGAGGCTACAATGATGGGCACTGATAGGCTGCACTGATGGGCACTGATAGGCGACACTGATGAGATGGCATGGATAGGTGGCACTGATGGGCATTGACATGCATCACTGATGGGCATTGACAGGCATCACTGATGGGCACTGAAAGGCAGCACTCATATATAGCACTGATAGGCAGCACTGATGGGCACTGATAGGTGGCATTGACTAGCACTGAGAGGCGGCACTGATTGGAACTGTTAGGCAGCACTGACGAGCACTGATAGGTGGCACTGACTGGCACTGATAGGTGGCACTGACTGGCACTGATAGGTGGCACTGATTGGCAACATTGACTGGCACTGATAGGCGACACTGACTGGCACTGAAAGGCAGCTCTGATGGTCACTGATATGTGGCATTGATGTGCACTGATGGGTTTTGGTATGTGGCTTTGATGGGCACTAACAGGTGGCATTGATGAGCACTGACAGGTGGCACTGATGGGGCTACACTGATCACCAGGGCCGATAACTGGCATTTCCTTGTTTACATGCGATCAGCGGTGATTGGACACAGCTGATCACATGACAGAGCTGACTTCATTGGCTCTTTACTCTGATCAGTGATCAGCTGTGTCCCAGGAACACAGCACACCACCGATCACCGCGCCACGTGCCCCCTGGGGGCGCACATGTGCAGTTAGAGTGGGAGGACATTATTTCCTTATATGGCGGGGGTGGGGGAGGTGGTTAAAGGCCATGGTGCATTGTGATACACCTTTTCACATTTTCCAGCATCAGCTTTCTTTGTGGCTCACTGTAATCAGTCACACGAAATTTCAGAGTCAAAAATTAAAATGCTGCAATTCCAGTTCTGCGCAAGAAGCAGGTGGCTATATAATGCACAAGACGTGTTACTTACTGAGAAGCCCATTCTGATTGATATAAAAATGGAGAAGTATCTCCACTCAGGGCCGCCATATCTGATCAGTAGTAATGGGCTTCATGTTCAAGTCGAACGTAAGTTTGACTCGAACATGAGCCGTTCGTATGTTCGCATGGGCGCCTTGACAGTGTATTGTGATTTGCCAAAGCAATGCAACTGATGACAGGTTAGGTGCAATCCTTTCGCCAATCACAGTGCATGATGACATCACAAGGGGACCCCCTTGTGACATCATCACAGTATTTAAGAACTGACATCCTGGCGCAGCTGTCAGACGGCAGGAGCCAGCGTCTAGAGCGGAGTGTTTTTTTTTCTTTTTTCAGGACAGCAGTGGTGGTGGGTATTGTGTGTGATGTTGGATCTACTTCGGTGGACGTTTTTTAAATTTTTGTTTTCAAAAAAGGACTTGTTAAAGACTGACTCCTGTAATTTTTTGCTACAGTTTTTTTTTTTGTGAATGGGTAGCTGTACCATGTACCGCATAATCATTAACATAGGGGGGATGCCGGAATCTGGGGTCCCCCTTTTTAAAGGGGGCTTCCAGATTCCAATATGCCCCCTGCCCGCAGACCCCCACAACCAACGGCCAGGGTTGTGGGGAAGTGACCCTTGTCTCCATCAACATTGGGATAAGGTGCTTTGGGGGGAGCACCCCCCTTTGTTGAAAGCATGTGGCCTGGTATGGTTCAAAAGAGGGGGCGTTTGCTTGTCCTCCCCCCTTTCCTGATCTCCCGGGCTGCATGCTCAGGTAAGGGTCTGGTATGGATTTTGGGAGGAGACCCCCAGGCCGTTTGTTTAAAAAAGTTTGGTGTGAGGGTTCCCCTCAAAATCCATACCAGACCTGAAGGGCTTGGTATGGATGGGAAGGGGAACCCTACAGTGTTTAAAAAAAAAAAATGTAATTGTCCCGCAATACCAACAATTCTTTTGACATTCAGCTGTCAGCAGGGAACCCCGCTGACAGCTGAAACATTAAAGATTATCTTCACTATTCAGTTCAGTTATTTTAATATAACTCATGCGGTATTGTAGTAGATGAGCGGTATCTTACTGCATACTCATATACCAACGACCCTAGTACTGCCAGGCGGAAGTGCTAACCATTTAGCCACTATGCTGCCCACAATGCTACAATTTTGGCCATATTCAATATATTTCAATATATGTATATATATATATATATACACATACATATACATATACACAGTATACTGCATGTTGAAATGCGTTTTTATTACAAAATATATGAAAAATATTTTTAAAAATACATTTCAAATATAATGTATGTCTTAAAGGACATACATTATATTTGAAATGTATGTCTTTAAAAATACAAATCTAAATTTTTGGAATGCATTTACAAATATATGTAAAAATATATGTTAAAATGACTTTTTTTATATGTTAAAATAAAATCTAAAGCATATATTTAAAATAAATATATTTTTAATAATATTTTTTTTAAATATATTCTTCAGATTTTTTTAACATATAAAAAGTCATTTACCATACATTTTTACGTATATTTATAACTGCATTCCAAAAATGTAGATTTGTATTTTTTAAAGGCATACAGTATATTTGAAATGTATTTTTAAAAAATATTTTTCATATATTTTGTAATAAAAACTCATTTCAACATGCAATATACTGTATATATATATTTATTGAAATATATTTTGAAATATATTGAATATGGCCAAAATTGTAGCATTTCAAATATATGGCAATATATTTGGGAAGAATATTTTTAAAATATATTTCAAATATATTTTTGTTCCATATTGGATATTGCTCATAAATTAGACATGACTCTTTTTAAAACCGCACTGAATCTGCACCGCCAATGCATCGGACATATGTGAACAGGCACCATAGGAAGCAATGTTTTTTCACATTTCATGCGGATTGGATGGGGTTCAAACCGCATACATGTGAACGGGCACTAAATGTTAAAAAAGAGAACTATTATAAGGATTTTTTTTTTTGCTGATTGTCGTGAATTTTCGATGTTGACTCAAATTGCACATCCTTATATTCATTTCACAGTGTTCTGGCAGCAGCTTAAGAAAGCATTAAAGAGAAGCTGCCATGCTACAAATATGGAACCTGCTATTGCTGCTATTGTATTTAAAGGTGCATGATTCAGAGCTGTCATTCTTATTCTTGCTTTCCCACCTGAAACAAGTATGCAGGCAATATACTTATTCCAGGTCAATGCATCACTGTGTAGTAAAGCACAGATAAGGATGTCAACATGACAGGTTACCATTAAATACAGGCCTGTTTCTAATAGTATCTAGTATCAGGGAACAGAACATACATCTAAAATGTGTGACCCTAGATGACCTAGTAAAAACAGAGCACACAGGAAAATAGTCCTTTTGAAGTAATGCAGCTAGTCAATTATAACCCTGCTCCTGGAGATGTTTATGCAAATGTAGGCATGATTACAAGATTTACAACCATGAAGACCTTACCAAATTAAAGAAAAGTGAAATATAACATTCCCTAGAAAACAATAGCATCCACATTCTGTGGAATATAGAAAACTGTAATGATGTAGTAAAGTTGAGCCCCAGGCAGATACAAAACCCCATTAACTAATGTGGATATGTCCATTAATAAAGTGAAACTAGAAGTACCTAAATTTGATATCAGCTTCTTAATTTCCTTCAGTCAGGCTTTGCTATAATGTACACATGCTGACAGGAGGATAAAACAGAGTGAGTATATGCAGTGGTGTATTTAGGTCTCGTGCTGCCCTAGGCAACACAAAACTTGGCTCCCCCCATAGACCAATTAACACCCCAGTTCCCCCACCTGAGAGAGCCTTCTATTACCACTGCCCCCCCATACACTGGCAACCCCCCACCCTGACAAGAGATAAGACACTCACCTTCACAGCTCCAGACATCCCCGGGAACAAGAGTCAGGCTCTGCATACACCATCAAGCAGCCCTGAGCCTCTCTCAGATCTCACCTGGTCCCCGTGCTGCATGTGTCCCTTTTTCATTTTTTGGGGGGAAAGCGCTGCCCCCCTGAAAAATGCTGCTGCCCCCCTGAAAAATGCCACTCTAGGCAAATGCCTTGTTTGCCTTTTGGTAAATACATCCCTGAGTATATGGATGATGTCATCACAGAACTGCTCAATGTGCAGTTATCAGGCTGGTATTGTGTCCTTTACTGTGCTGCTACTGCTGCAGTGAAGGTAAATGACCTATCCAATTCAAAATTGAGTTACCAACTAGTGTCCTGCAGGATGACTCTTGGATCTTCTCACTGGAATTTATACTGCAGTAGTAAATAAAATAATAATTGAGGAATCCCCCTGAAAATTTTACTGCCTGAGTCCTGGGCAGATATAACAGGTGTAAAATATTAGTTCTCAGTGGCCTTAGGTTGGCCATACACAGGGAAGTCTCTCATCATGAAAGGCAGGCTTTTGCCAACCAATAAGGACTGAAGTGTAAACCCAAGACAATAAATGTAATATATTGTAGCTGATCAGTCCTTAGATGTGGTAGCTGCATTCATTTTTTCCAGACATTTTCTCTTCATTTTCACCAGGTGATCCTTCCAGTAACACACTTCCTGTCCTAGGGTGACAATGCTCATGCACTAAACTGTATGTATTGAAGTAGAGCATTGTCACCCTAGGACAAAACTACAGAACACTCCCTCTCTCCCCATCTCTCTAACAAAGGGAGAAAATGTTCTGTGGTCCACAAAACAAACCCTTTTGATGATATATTTAACAGACCAAAAAGGGGGAAATAAGTGAAATGTATTGTTAGGAGTGTCCAACCTTTTGACATTCCTGGGCCACATTGGAAGAAAAGGAATTGTCGTGGGCCACACATACATAAAATACACTAACAATAAAGAATATGGCCAAAATTGTAGTATTTCAAATATATGGCAATATATTTGGGAAGAATATTTTTAAAATATATTTCAAATATATTTTTCTTCCATATCAGATAATGCTCATAAATTAGACATGACTCTTTTTAAAACCGCACGGAATCCGCACCGCCAGTGCACCGGACATATGTGAACAGGCACCATAGGAAGCAATGTTTTTTCACATGTCATGCAGATTGGATGGGGTTCAAACTGCATCCATGTGAATGGGCACTTAATGTAAAAAAAAAAAAAACTATTAAAAGGATTTTTTTTTTTTTGCTGATTGTTGTGAATTTTCTGTTGACTCAAATTGCACATCCTTATATTCATTTCAGAGTGTTCTTGCAGCAGCTTAGGAAAGCATTAAAGAGAAGCTGCCAGCATGTTTTGCATTGTATTGGTATTGTTCTGTCACATGTTCTGTCCCCCTTTGTAATGTACAGCGCTGAGTGAACTATTGGCGCTTTATAAATACTGTATATAATAATAATAATAAA